AGTAGTAGTTGGGATATAGTAGTTTCCATAATTGGTACCGACGTGTAGGCCTGTACAATTCAGGTCATAATTATTCTTGATTTTTGTCTGAACTCAAGCGGTATGAACCAAAATGCTTTTCCTGCTGTATTTTTCCGAAATACTGCAGGACATGCTACCTCGATCGATCACAAAAAGTGTTTGCCTAGGGATTCTCAGATGACAATAATGTTTTGCAGTCTGATCGTGAATTAATCTGAATGCAGGTGACACCAGTCCAAAGCCCCCTGAAAGCTGCTGGGAAGTCCATGACCGTCTTACTTTATCCACATACTTTTACTTCCTTTGATTTGTTGACATTGTTGACAATGTCACAGGCCATTTAGGTCCAAGAACATGCATCTTTCCCTCCCTAATAACTTGTACTTGTACTAATGGCTCTGAAATATTGAGCATTCATGTTGAAGTTGTTCTTTTGCTTACCACTACGAAAGTATCCCCCTTGAACTAAAATGGCAACAGCATAAACAATTCCTTTGCCATCTAAGCAACATATCCTTTGTGTTGTTCTATAAAATTTATTCTTAATTACAATGAAAAATAACAAATAAACAGCAAAATATGGGGAATGAGTTAGAGCAAATTTAAATATTTATTGTCAAGTACACATATAATAACAAAGAAAAGGAAATAACCAGTGACACGAGAGTAGGGGTGTGCAAAATCGAAAAATTCCGATTTACCGACCGAATTCAATTCGAAATCGGTAATTCGGAATTCGGCACTAAAATCGGAATTTCCGATTTCGAATTATGTGAATTTGGTTCAAATTCGGTAATGGAGTTTTTGAAATCAGAATTTCCGATTTCGAATTCATAATTCAAAATCGGAAATCGAAATCGAAATTTTCGATTTCAATTTCGTTTTATAATATATATATTAATATTTTTTTATTTATATATATAATAATATTTTTTTATTTCAATTTCTTTTTATAATATGTATATTAATATATATTTATATATATAATAATATTTTTTATAATATATGCAATATAAAATTTATATTATATAACAATACCTCTAACAAAAAAGAAAAAAAAGGGAAAAAAGGTTTTCGAATTCGGAATCGGAATCAAAATCGAAAACCGAAACTGGTGAGTTCAAAATCAAAATCAGTCGGTAATTCCTATGCCAAAATTCCGAAAAATTTCAAATTTAAACTTTCGAATTACTGAATTCGAATTCGATGCACAACCCTAGAAGAGAGAATCGGAAAGACTAAAAAAGAAAAAGAAAAAGAGATATCATCAATTTTATTGTTTTTATCCTTTTTGGATATCCATCAATACTCGAGTCTGCCTGTGAAAATGATCACCGGCCATAAAATATATGTGTATATATATACATATATGTACATAACTATACATGGAGTTATGTACATTTGTTATGTAATAATTGTAGTCATTGGATTGAAGCGAAAGCACATGAATATGTTATGGATGCATCCTCTCTAATACTAATAGAGTGGCATAATCGTTTGCAGCAACTGGTACATGCATACAAATTACTACTGCAAATATTTATAGGTGCATGCACTGTAATTACTTTTTCTCCCTGTATAAAGATTCGACCATCTATACATCTTATCTAATTTAGATTAATTATTTCTATTCCAGGAAAGAAATTTAAAATACTTTGTACTTATAACCCTTTTTAAGATTGAATGAATGGATAAAATGTATTTTCCATAGATGGTGATAGTAGCAGTGTATTTGATAAAATTGAAAAACACACTAATTATGACGACAAAAGTTATTCTTTTTTGGCCAAAACTTACTAATTTTAGAAGATGTCTAATATCACTGGACTGTATAATTTGATGGTAGTTTAATTTCCGTCAATTTCTCAGAATCACTCGCTAATATATATTAGAGTAAAAGTAGACGTAGATGGTATCAATTGACGAAAAAAAAAAGTATTGAAGGAATAGCAGACGTAGATAGATAGTAGTATTAGTGTATTACAAAGGGATTTGAGTGTGTGTATAAATAATACTCCCAAGAGCAATTGCACGGATGGATGATTGATTGTCTCTCCTCAATCCTCAGTCCTCAGTAGGCCCCCACTTCCCACAGTGCAGCAGAGTCGACCAACATACCATATCTTTGCTCGACTGCTACTGTAACCGTATCTCTCAAAACAAAACAAAACAAAACTCCACCACCGCCACCGACCGCACCAGCTCTCTCTCATCGGGCAAAATAGTAGATTGCAGCTACCGGAATTTTATCATCCCTATAAATGGACCTGGAGAACCAGCAGCAAGGCTTGCTTCTTCTTCAGAATGGCCACAGCAGCAGCACCAGCAGCTCCAACAATAACACAAGGGCCCCCACCAATATAGCCACCATATTCTCCAGACTGACCTCCGCCACCTTGAACCACCACAGGATTTTCTTCAATGATTACGATGATGATGATGATGAGGAGGAGGAGGAGAGGGAGGAGAACGAGGATGACCGTGGCCGTGGCCCATCACTCCCAGTAGGCCAAGAATGTCCATTCTCGAGGCCCTTCGTGATTCTTGATTTGATATGGAACTTGGGGTTTGTGTTGGTGGCTGCCTTTGTGCTTTTGACTACCGTCACCGAGAGACCCACCACCCCTTTAAGGCTTTGGATTGGTGGCTATGCTCTGCAGTGCCTCTTGCATGTGGGCTTTGTTTGGCTTCACTCTCAAAGCAGCCATTTTTACATTCATCATTTCCATGCCTTTCATCCATTTTCTCTCCTTTGTCGCCGAGGGTATGATGCTTCTTCTCTTTCTCGTGTTTTAGGAACTCTTGCTCTTACTAAATTCTTGTTTCTGTGATTCCTTACCCCCTAATTGATTCATTCCAACCCATTTGGGGTAAGTTTCTGATTTAGGTATCTGACCCCCAATTCAATAGGGCAACAAGAAAGATAAAGGAAGGTATAAAGGTAGTCAGATACTAGTCAAAGAAGAAGAGCTGAAATGTATACACAAAATAAAAGAATCTTTTTTGGCTGTTGATTTGGTACCTTAAATGTTTTAGAATAACATCTATTTGGAAATCATAGTAAATTTTCCACAGCGGGATATGCAAGCTCCATGGCTGCTCCTTTGCCTGTACTTTTGTCCTTGTTCAAAGTTTGACTGGAACATGGCCTTTCCTTCTTGTTTGTATAAGCTCCAAACTAGTACAGGAGATATTTCAGCTCCCTGTAAACTTGATTCAATGGTATATTAGTCTAAATGTTCAACTTTAATAGGCCATAGTAGGATTTACCACTTTTGGTCTGCAGCATGCATAATTCGGCTTAATGGTTCGAAGGTTAATGAAACAAAACTTAATCAACTTTCCTTTCTTCCTTTTGCTTGTCTTTCCATTAGGGAAATGGGCAGCTTAAAGTGAATTTATTTTTACAATGATGAAGTCCTCAGCATATAAACAAAAGATATTACTTCTTACGCTACAATCTTATTCTCTTTTGTAGTTTTGTCAAGAGGCTGGAGTCTATCAACACAGTTATTTCATCCGTCTGGTGGGTGTTTGGATTCTATTGGATATATATGGGTGGAAAGGCACTTTTGCAAGATTCGCCCCGTCTCTACTGGTATGAATCTTATTTGAAGGTTTCAGAAAATCTTATTACTTATTTAGATCCAATTGGATTATTTTTGAAAAAGAATATGAAAGCTGCTTTTGGTGAAGTGGTAGGATATGGAAGTTTAGCTTATTAGAGAACTTGGAGCTCCATCATATGCATTGTATTCCAATTATGATCCCTCAAACCACCCCTCCCCTGAAAAGGCTCTAAAATTTGTTATCCTTTGCAAGAAGCTCCATGATCAATTGACAATTTCTTGCAACATGTTGAAGGGTAGTTGTTGGACAAAGATGGTTCCGTGGGTGCTATATGTCCTCTGATTTATGGAGTCAAATTCATCTTGAGGCTTCAAATGTAGCCCGATATATGAAATATTAAATTTCTTAGCCAACAGGCAAAGAAAGAACCAAGAAATGTAGCCTTCATTAAGAGTATCTTTGTAGTTGCTCTGGTAACCCTTCTGGATTGGAGGCCCCAGTGACTATCCTCCCTACATAAATTGCTCCTTCAAATTCTTTTAACATCTTTATTGTCTTGTTTTTCGTTTTTCTTCAGTAAATGTATGCCTGAGAAATTTGAAAAGTTCTTGCATTCTCCATTTATAATCAGTTTTGATGCATAACCAGAAAGAGAAATGAGATCAAATATAATCAAATTTCCAAATTTTTGGAAACAAACGGAACGAGGATGTCATTTATGTCTAGGGAGTGAAAATTCTGCAAAAATTTTAGTACAATCTATTTAGGTTTTCTGTGAATAATATTTTTCTGTGCAAACAAACATGACAGTTAGTCTGCACTTGTAAAAGGGGGCCCTAACTGAAGCATATATAACTGCTGCAGGTTATCAGTGGTTTTTCTGGCTTTCGATGTATTCTTCATGATATTTTGCATTGCAATGGCGTTCATTTTTTTTGTATTGCTGGCATGTTGCTTCCCAATATTGGCAAGGGTTGCACATGCTATGACAGTTGGGGAAGGAGCTTCTGAAAATGATATAAGGACTCTTCCCAAGTATAGATATTGCCTTCCTAATGCTGCAGGGACTATCAATTCTTGTAGAAAGCGAGAAGAAGCTGCTTTACTAGCTCACCTGGGCAGCGGCAACATCCCTGAGCTTGCCCTCAGTTTGGAGGATTCTGTAAGCATCTACAACATCCTCTATCTATTTACTGAAATGGACTTGTTTCTTTCCCATTTATCTGTTAACTTCTCTTTCGCTCCTTTCACTCCTTTGCGAACTTGGAAAACAATGAGCAAGTTAAAAGAGGCTCTTAAGAACATTCAAATTTCTTGTTTTCCACATATAAAGGGTATATCGGAAGACAATTAATATTGTTTTTGTTCTTTTTGTTATACGCCGTCAGAAATCAAGGAGACTGAGAGAGTGAGAGTAGATTTTTTGTATATTTTGCTTTTCAAATTTTCTTTGTTTTTTTTTCACTGTGAAATGTTTGACCTCTAATACAACAGTACACTGAAGAATGGCTTTCTCCCTTGCTTAAACCTATCCTTTTCCCTGTCTATATTTCAGAAGCAAATTATTAAAGTCAGATTCCTCATAACTCATCAGTTGAGTCAAAGAAGTGATTATTCCTGATATTGCATCTAGAATGCTATGTAATCCATTGTCTAGCGTGTACAGCTCCAAGTTTGTTGTTTTTGAAGGGAGATATCCACTGGAAGAGCACTTTTCAAAGGTTCAGATAGGAAACTCCTTAAGCTAAGCTCACTCCTTTTTCTATCCACCTCAAGAGTTGGTCTGCTGCTTAAAACCGAGCATGAATACAATGAGCCACTAACAGTTTGAAGCTTTCGCAATCTTAACATATCTGCTTCCTCATGGCATAAGCTGTATGGTTGCAATTAACAGAACTGGTACAAAATCAAGTTTGATATGTCTCCTCTGCTCTATTGGTAGGAATTTCATAGGATTCCCCACCGAAGCTTATATTCCAAACACTCAAGTTGGTTGATGACCTGGCTGCACATTTTTTGGCAAAAATTATTTATGGATTCTAGTTTATACAGCAGAAAATTGCAGAGTTTCCTAAGTTTGGGGTTTTGGAGAAGACGGTGCAGCACTTGAAGAACTTAGTTTTGTATACTTGGACCATGAAAGTCGCCTTTTAAATTTCTTGGATTAGTCTTTACATATGCAGAGATAAAGCTTTTACAGTTGCATCTTTTTGGTGTCTAGTTAACAAAATTACTTTCCGAGAATATAGCAACTGGCAAAAGCAAAAGTTGGACAGGCTAAATTGCTTGTTATGTTATTTTGCATTTGGGTACTGACCTCTTTGTTTGATATACTATATGCTATTAAGTAATATAGTCCTCCTTATGCTTTTGACTTCTGCAAGTTGGTTATAGATGTGTGCATCATTTAACATTTGACTGACTGAGTGGTCTAAGCTTTGGATTTGTGGGCATTCTTTCTTGGGGTGTGATTGTCAGTCAACTCTTCAGTATTCAGCTTTTAGTAGTTCAGGAATCATGCTTAACACCCTTCTTAAGTGCCATTTCACTATACTGGAAAATCATCTACTAACATATGTATTATAGACTTTATGGTAAGACTTTGGAAATATTTGATCATGATTTGCAGATTGAAGATGGCTTTTGGCATGGTATTCTAATTCCTTGTATGTTGGAATAGTGTGCCTCTTTTTGACAGTTGAATTGGCAGATGAATTTGGTTGAGATTCGTCTGTGTTATGTAACCATTTTATTTGTCAATTTAGTTAATATTTGCTAACATGTGCCAGCCGTAAATTGATAACTTAGCAATTAACTTTGGATAATTGTGTATTTAACTCTTTAATCAATTTCTTATGGCTTTTTTCCCCCAATTTTAGGTTGAAAGTCACCTGGGTTTGAGTACTCCGATATATTCCAGTCTTCAGCCTTCTCATACCCGCTGTTTTTCTGAACAACATAATTGTTGATGTTTCTTACTACTAATTCCTTATGTTTTAATCATGACCGTAACTCTGAGCTTTGGTTTGAATACTTACCCATTGCAGGAATGCTGCATATGCCTTCATGGCTATGAGGATGGAGTGGAGGTGTGCACTCTCCCCTGCAACCACCATTTTCATTACCGATGCATCCGCAGATGGCTGCGAATTAATGCAACCTGCCCTCTCTGCAAATTCAACATTCTTCAAGGTGAAATGTTGGTCTGACAAAAAGGAAACTTGGAAAGGGAAAAAGGTGTACAATGTGTAGGAACCAATCATTCTGAGACAAGCAGCACCAAGGAAATCGGGATGCTAGATCTAAGTATTGTCGTAATGCAAATTGGCTGCTGGCAAATGTACAGAAGGAAAAAGAAGTCTGTCCAACTTCTTGTTCTCGTCGTGCAGGTTCTTTTGTTTTTTTTTTGGCATTCTACATGGACAATTTAGGCCGTGGGAAGTGAAAGGTTGTTAGGTCCTGCTTCCCTCCCCTGACAGCAATTCTCTGTAGAATATAAAGCAGACTGGTAAGTTGGTTTAGTTAATAACAACCCGTCAAGGCTTTGTCTGGTGGTTCAGGGTACATTAAGCCTTGGAACATATCAGGCAAACTTGACATACTCGACATTGACCTGATGAGAGTTGGCCAAAAGTGGTAAAACACATGGAAAGATAAAGAAACAAATCAAAGCGGTTAAAACTTCCGTTCTGGATGTAAGTTGACTAGGAGAAGAGTGGAATGAACGGAAGAGTGGGAATGATGGGACAGAGGCGCCATTGTCTTAACGCTGAAAAAATGTGAAGAAGCATTAGTACGGGTCTGACGTTGAAAGAAACCGGTGAAGGAGGAAAGCGAAAAGTAAAGGTGCAAGACGAAGAACGAGAGAATGGAATGCTCGAGTGAGAGACATTTGTTGGCTGCCGCATAAAGTTGTACTGGCATGGTGCAGTCAATAGCGGTGCATCATGTAAGTTTGTCAAGAATGGAGAAAGACTCTTTATCCTCAGTGTATTGTCTTGTGAAACTGCGAGTTTTCGTACAAAACTCTTATGCATTATAGTCCCTTCCCTTGTAGGCGTGTTTGTGTGCTCCATGGGATGTCCACCGCTTCCTAAGTGTTGATTTTTTGGGGGCATAAACTAAAAAACAACACTTTAGTGCTGCAAAAAAAGCTTATAAGAGACTTGCATTAAAGATGAAAAATGAGTTTGTGTTCTACATTCATCAACTCATTATTTATAGTGATTACATGAAATAAACTAGCAAAATATTCAACTAACAATTATCTTAAAAATCTCAACAAAATATCATCTTTTTCTATTAGCAAATCTTAGCTAATATATTTGTTAACAAACCAATATGATTTTTGGTTAACAAATATCCTTATTTTTCTAATAACTAAATTATTTTGATATCAAACATAATCTAGCAAAATCTGTAGGAAAAGTTGACATATCTCAACACTCCTTATTGTCACTTTTAGGGGTATGCAAAGTCGAAAAATTTTAACGCAGGCTATTAGTAGTATGATTAACTGGTTGATTGTGTCATTGTGTGAGGTTTTATATCCTTCTTGGCTTCTTTAGACCAATCGTTGTTATTTATCACTCAGCACTGGACTGGACGTGTTTCTTCATCCTATACTGCACTGTATTTCGTTTACACTCTTTCATTGTTGAAGAAGTATCGAATTTTCTTTCTGTTTGTGCTTAAAAAAAGGCATTCCATTGCAAGGGAAGTGATTTGAATAATGCATCTTTCTGCCGATTATGAGAACAGTAAAGAAATGACACAGGCAAGGAAGGGGTAAAGAAACGGTCTCGTTTCTTTGAAATCAAGCCCCCTCCAAGGTGTCCTTTTGTGTACGGTTGAGCAACTCTCCTCCATCTGTTAGATTAGACGGATGTCAATTCCCATCATTGTGGAATTGGTGAGCAGCACAGCACCAGCATGATGGAACTTTTGAGCTGCAAATCGCTCTTGACGTCCATTTTGGTGTCTGCAGCTGAAACTAAAAAGTCTTTTCTTAGCAGATCAAACAACGCCACAGCAGGGAGCAAAACAAAATGGCCTCCTGGATGCGCTGAAAACAACACCAACATAGCAATGAACCAGGATTGCTTGCCTCAATCATAACAACACCAATAAAGCTGGCTTTGCATTGTTTAGGCAGGTCCAAGAGTGAAGGCTATACAATTTTCTTGACAAAAGAAGACTAATCAAATATAGGAAGCAGATATTGACAGATATTTATTTAGGATTTCAACCCTCAAAGCTAAACATAGCCACAAGAAACCAAACATTAATATATTTATCAGCTCCCCTTATTGTTAACAAAAGCGCATCATGTAAATCATTTTGTCCTCAGAAAAATAGAACTCAACATAATCATAAAAATTTCATGAACAATGAATGTAGATTTCTAGAGTGGTGCTTTTTGTTCGACAAAATTTGTAGAACTCCTATTTAAGCACATCAACACTTCTTTTTCTTCCAAAATTTGATGCCAAAACCCATTAAAAAAAATCATACCCTATTCCCCCACCATAAACTTTCTCCAACATAATATCCAAAAAGTTTGTATCATCCTCAAAATCCAGCAATCCTGTAATTGTATGCTTTCATTCAAACATTTGGAACAAAATTGATGGTTTCTTTAACCACCACAGGAGAATTCCCAACCTTCAATCTTAATTAGTAAAATCAGTTTAAGTTGTATTTTTGTTATTTTTTATAAGAGAATAAACAACACTGTTTCAGCTGTTCCCAGCATGCTATAGAGCATTCACATTTTATTCGGATATAAGTACCTGGTTTATAAGAAGTAGAAGGAATTTTCTCAGCTTTGATGATCATATAGCCTCCAGCACAAACCGTATAAGAATTCACAAACAAGTCAACTGCCCCAAGAACAAAAGGTAACCAGAAAATGCAATTATAACTGATCGAAAAAGGGCCAAACTGAGTATAATGGTGATTTCACTAATTTTGATGAATCTTGATGTGACAAAAGTGAAAAAAAAAAAAAAAATCTGCCGATCATCTGGTAATGCCTAGAATAGTCCAGCACAAAGAGCAAAAGCAACCCGGTCAATACAATAGATCTCTTGATTTGATAAACCATTTGGAAGTTATGCATTTGTACTTAGCAGCTGAGTTTCTAACTACATTACACAAAAATTAACTGATGGAAGTGATGGAAGATGAATGCCAACAAGCATAAGCAAGAAAATGTGCCAGCACTCAACCTGGAAGATGTCTTCCGACAAACACTAAACATTCTTGTTCTTCTTCAACTTTGATGGTGGCCATCGCCCCTTCTTCCTCAAGCGACGCTTCCTAACCAGCTTCTTTCTTCGTAGCCTGATTTTCTTTGCCAACTTCATCCTCATCTTCTGCTCAAGCTTCAGCTGAAGCTTGGACTCCAGAGGAAGATTCTGAATGGGCACATCTTCCTCCTCGCTCTCTGACGGAAGCTCAGGCCCATCCGAGTTCGCGCCTTCAGCAGATGCCTTAGCCAGCGGTGCCCTCCTCTCCTTCTGAAGGAAAGGCGGCTGAATGCTGCATGCAACATACGGTTTGGGATATGCAGCCAAAGGGTTGTTGCACAGCCTGGAAACTAGCAAAAAGACCAAAAAGGCAAGTGATTAAGGAAAATGAAAAATCAGATTATCTTACCCAGTACAGCTATGAAATGTTAAATGAAAATGGGAATGAATTATCCTTTTGAACTGATCTTAGATTCATACGAGGGCTACATGACACAAGCTGTGAATAATTAACTACATTTCTCAAGCGTCTGGGCATAACAACATCTGAAAATGCATCTGATCCACATTATATGAACTGAAAAACCATAACATGTCCTTGGCAGAAAAAATTTCAAGCAAAGCTACCTCCACTTTAAAATCCACGCAAAATGGAGAAACAGATCAAGGGAAAAAAAAATCCAACATCCAACAAATAAATCAACTGGAAGAAAACGCAGACAACATAGTCGATGGAATACCAGAAAGACAAAACATTCAGGGAAAAAGGGTGCTTGGAAACATACGAACACGAAATTAGATACTTGGTACGACTAAAAGATCAGAATCTCCAATAAAAAAAATGAAGAAGGCTCAAATGTTTCGGCAACTGAGCAGCATTAATGCAGGACAAAGATAAAATTTTTAAAGGAAAAAAAAAAGAGCCAATTGAAGATGCTGAGCTGGAGGGAAAGAGCAAATGACTTTGCAACAGAACAATCACTAGCAACGAAGGGAATAAAGAACCCAGAAGTTCTAAACAATCAAGAACATATTTTGCAGGAAAAAGAAACCAAAAAAAAAAGTGTAAAAATGCACAGACGGAGAAATGGCGATAAAAAGAAGAGGGGTATTAATTATTATACTCTTACGCGGAAAAGAAGTGAGGGCAAAAGTTAGTGAAGGCGATGAAGATGAGGAAAGAGAGGAAAGCAGAGTTGAAACGGTAGTCCTCGTACTGGAAGCGGGAATTTGGAGGAGGAGAGCCATTGCTCAAATGCCCAATTCTACTTGCTGCTACTATCTCTGCTGCTCCCTCCTCCAATTCTTTCAATCATTCTCTCGTATGGTTATGGATAAGATAAGAGCCCCAATTCAGTCTTTGTGTCTGGTCTGGGTCCTAAAATTCCCAAAAACCCAAAAAACAAGGGCTTACGGCCAATTAGTGAGATTTGCACATGAGTCCCTTCGGTTCCTAGTGTCACAGGCTGCTTGTTTTTCCTACAAGCCAACATCCCGTGCAGCACTAGCGTACGTTTAAGTCTCAAGCTAGGAACGCTTGGCTAGTTCAGCCTTAACACTCAATGCGCGGTTATTATGCGGAAGCGCAAAAGTGATAGACAAAGATATGTGTTTGTGGCAAAGGAAAGTTTATATGACACACAAATCTTTTTTACACAAGGTTGCCAACCATTTCCAATACAAAGGGCTTGGCCTATTTATAGGCAAGCCAAAATACTTCATGGTCCTAAAATTCTCTATACAAGTCTAAAACTTATCTACAAGGTCAATGTTTATCTACATGGTCAAAACTTATCCACAAGGTCAACCCTTATCCACAAGGTCATGTTTATTCTCAAGGTTCATCCTTATTCTCAAGGTGCATGCTTATCCATAAGGTTCATGAGTATTACACATGGTTCTAGAATCTTCTCCACAATTCTAGCATCTTGTGGAATAACCCTAGCCAACTAGGCACAGTTGCGCGCGACTAAGCACGGTCGTGCACGGGCGGTCGTGCGGATGGGCACAGTCGCACGCGCGGGTTCATGCACAGGCACTGTCGTGCGCGCGACTAGGCACGATCGCGTGCGACTAGGCACGGGCACGCGTGGATGCCCGTGCGGAAAGGCACGACCGCACGCAACTTAGGTGCAGCCCGTGTCACTAGGAACCCCGCATGAATTGTAATTTAGTATATATATTTTTTCAAACTTTGCAAATGTTACTTTAAACATTGCTATTGAAATTTAATCATCTTTGTAAATTGTGTAAAAGTAAATAAGAAAAATCGAGCATAATCGAGTCGATTTCAAGTATTCGAACAATTATTCGAGCTCAAGCTCTTTTTCTGCTACTCGCTCGAGGTCGAGTTCGAGTTCGAGTAATGTCTTCCTAGTGTTGAGTCAAGCTTGAATACCACGATACTCGAGCTCGACTCGATTACAATTTTAGGAAGAGGGATGGGTTAAAAATAAAAGGGAAAAGAAGTGTCCCTTTTTCCTAAATAGCTAACCAAAACGGTAAATGTATCATTAACGTGTCTGAAAGAGAAAAAATAATTACAATGGTGAGTATTTGAACTAACAACTGCTCCTTGCCTTGGACCCGGGGCTGGAACGGTTGTCAGTGCAATCGTTCCGAAAGCTTGTGTGCATTTTGCACACGGTGTAACATCATTTGTACACGATGTAACACTAGAACAACAGCGAGTAATACTAGTACAATATTTTGTTGGCCCCACACATGTTAAAATCTGGACCTTACAAATTTTGTTGGTCAAATCTTGGCCATTAACTGGCAGGAACGGTCCTCTCCCCCTTTCCTTGGCCTAAATCCTAATCTCATTGCATTCTTTTGCATGGTAGCCAATCAATAGCAGGAGGGACAGATAATCCTCTCAGCTCAGGCATTAATAAGATGATTTCAGTCTAAAGCATTCTTCTTGATTTTATCATAAAAGACATTTGCCTTGAAAACAAACTAAAACAACCCCATGCAGAGAGTTTGCCTATAGGATTCTTTCCTTCGAGTAACTAGTCCGTTGTATTGTATTACTGCAAAACATGTACCCCACGAGGTTTAATAATTCATCCCTGCTTTTAACCAGGTGTATATATAGATGGACTTTCCGAAAATGAACATCTGAACTTCATATTCCAGCTCCAGATTCATGCCAGAATTGAGCCTAATCTATCTCAGCTCTGACAGTATCGCTCTGATGATAAGCAGAAGAAGCCTTAATTTCGATACCTTGTTGCAAAGCCTTTACAGATTCAGCCAGCCAAGAAGTAGAATAGATGTTCATGCTTTAATTTGGATTTCAATTATAGGGAAGTCGATTGATTTCCCATTCTTCTTTACATTCTTAACTGACCAAACTTTGTCCAAAATTCTCTCCTTGATACCTGGCCACTGGCCAGCCCCATCTCTCTTCCCAGAAGAAATGATACCCTTCCAGTTTCCACCAAAAACTGCATTGGTTTTGTAGCGAAAAATGAACTTAATAAAATTGCAATAGCTATCAGCTCTTCCAAAAACCACTGCCAGAATGACAGGTGCGCTCTTCCACTTTTCCAGGTGCATTTTCGAAATGTATAAATACTACAGTTTCATGTTCATAGCTAATGACAATAAAATGACTAAAAAATGAACAGAAAAATCTACAGACTCGAGAACATTGACAATCACTTGAAGCATAATTAACTTGAAGATGCACAAATAAGGTTTCAAAAGAGAGATGAGGTTGACAGCACATAACCTCCCCGCCCACTTTAGCTTCCATCACTTTCAACATCTCTATTCACTTTGTTCCTACTAGTGATAAAAATTGATGACAGTAGTGTTTTCCTTGGCTGAAAGCAACATCATAAACGGCCTACTTCATTTTTCGACCTCCAAGAGAGACTACGAAGATGAACTCAATGCTTCACCAGCAACTTTATGACAACTGCAGCTGTCTAATGACACAATGATAGGTACTTCGACCGTGGCGACCAGAGTCGCCCAGACCTATTGTTGACAAGTACAGATTTAAGGTACTACTATTTCAAGAAAATGGAATCATATGGTACAGATACAGCAGATTTTTCCAGGTAAAAACAAAAAAAAAACAAAAAAAAAATACCTTGGTTTAAGGTAAAACGTGCGTGCGGAATATGAGTGGGTAGGTGCAGCACATTCCACTGCTCCATGTCTGAGACAAGAACTTAAGTTAGTCTTTAAAGCGTAAAGAGTTGTGCTTTAAGAGAATTCAATCCACAAGGGATGTCCATGTTATATGATGCGCATTCAGAGTTCTTGTACATTTTGCTGCCTGAATCCATGAACTTTGCAATCATCTCAAAATGCTAATAAAAAAGGCCAGAGGACGGGCACAGTTCAGTAGCAAATGAACAGTGCCATAGGACTTACCACAGATAGCAAGGGCCCTTGTTTGAACTTGTCATGAAATGACAGTGCAATTGGCTTGGGATTAACGCCAGGGCCTCTAATAAATCCACTGGATTTATGGAACCAAACACATGAACAAGAATCAGAAATGATTGGTATCCACAAACAAAATAGCATAAGAAAACACTGAAAAGGTCTAAGAAGCTAAGATAAGAGAACACAATATTCGACCTACATTAGTGATGCTGAAATCAGGGGGGTTCTCCTAACATCATATATTGCCACAAGACCTTTGTACAGATCATCCCCATCTTTGTATGACAAAGCCAATCGTTCTCCTGAACCATCCCATGCTATCTTCTCAATTCCTTTACTGCACAGAAGGTAAGGAAATTAAGGACTGATTCTAAAAACAAATGCCCCCATGCATGAAATTTTACACAAAAAGAAAAACAAGTATCATTACATTTCTTAGGAGTTCAATAATCAATGTGCTATAGGAGAGAGAGAGAGAGAGAGGATGGTGAGAGGCAATTGAGGGAGAAGACAAAGCAGTTAAGAGGTCTTGATGGCAGCAGCAGGGCTCTAAAGAGATTAAGAGTGGATCCATGATCTCTGTTCATATGATTAGCAAGTAGCAGACCTTGAGTTGAACCTACATAACCTAAATAATGCCTGCCTATGTCATACTTGCATCTCAGGCCACTTGGGCGTGGAGGCCGACATGCCTAAAGATGCCAGATGAGCTAAATTGCATTCAGTTCCAACTAATACTCCCAAGATATAGCCTTCAAAATTGGACAAGCCTCCTGCTAAATTTCACAGTGCCACATATAGGGTGGTCTCACATGATTTGAGGAGCTCACCCAGCACTATCATCTAAAGGATCAAATCACAAGCCATATCAGCTGACCTTGAGGGAAGCATCCTCCACGGCACTACAGGGCAGCCTATGACCAAATGAAGTTACTGCAATAGCATCAAACCACTGACCTTGACTCATCCTGGTGGCATAAGGCTGACATATGATCCAGAATATCTAAGCAAAACGGAGAAACACAGAAGAAAGTTCCACCAGGTTCACAGGATTCAAGGAATGTCTTTCATTAACTGATTAACCAGTCACCTCAACATGCCAAACTGCAATGAGTTTGATCAACTATCCCTCCTTCAACATGTAGACAAATATAGGTAGTCCCAGTTACCGGGCAGGGGAAATAGCACCACTACTGTAACCTAGGAAATAAAACTGAATTCCACCTCAACATGCATCTTAAGAATCTTTCAGCATATTAAAGATATTAATACAGAGACTTCCTTTTTTGGATCAGTCAGCTACTCAAATAAAAGTGTCCCTATGCCTTATTCTTGTAACAGTAAACTTTATTGGAGTGTGTTCCTTCCTTCCCAAGTAAGATCATGATGGGTATATTACATTGAAATCAAATCCATTAACCATTTCACCAGTTCACAATTTCACAATCTACTTTTCGATGGAATTCCTTAAAAAATACTCCAGACTCCTCAAACCATACTCTCTAGTCAAAATTACCCATAGTTACAGAGAACCATCCAAGTATTAACCAGATATAACTTGGAATAGATTAGCAAAGAGAAATATACAAAGACTGGTCAAAGAGAGCCAATCCATATCCCAGTGATGAAAGGAATTACAAGCATAAATCATCTCAAATAAAAGGAAATCAACATCCATTAACAAGATCAGAAATATATAAGCATTATTCAACAATTATAAGGTTTCATGAAGCAAGGCATTATCATCTGAACCTTCTGGTCAAGGACTGAATCTCTGGCAACTCTACAGGTACAAGGTGTGCATCTGGAAAACAATACTGTTGAAAGTCAAAGTCTGCAAACAGCTATTAGGGTGCCCATAAGTTCAGACACTGCCTATGGAAGTTCACAAAAAAACAACTTTTCAGCAGCAAAACAGAGACAAAAAATCCCTCATGCATAAAGTACCATAGAACAAGATGACTATGAGGTGAGTAACACTGCAGCAAAGAGGTATCTTATGAAGCCAAAGGAGATGTTACAAGCCTGTTAAGAAGCTAAGGAAATAAGCAAAATATGACCACCCAGCCCCTAAAAGGGGTAATGCACTCATCTTGACTTGTCAGTTAAAGCTTAAAAAAATCAGCATCATAATGCATCTTGTGAGATCACCATGAATTTAAGTCATTGACATCTTCCAACTGCTGTGTC